TCATCACAGGCTTCCGAGAAAGCCTGCCCTCTCTCACCCCCCCGGCGCGCCGCCGCAAGGAGGGATAGGGCGAGGGCGAGGTGGGGGAGGAGGAGCCGCGGCGATGGGAGGTGGGAGGCGAAAGCGAGGAGGTGAGTGTGCACGGCGAGGGGGCAGGGAGGGGGGACGAGAAGGGATCGGGAGAAGAGGACACGGTTCAGATTTTGTTTGACATCCACGGCCGCTGAACCACCGAGGAGGATGTGAGCAGCATGGGAGGGAGCAGGAGGATGGGGAGCATGAGGAGGAAGAGGAGGAGGAGGGCAGGAAGCGGAGGATGAGCGCTTTTCATCCCCAATCTCTCTGCTGCACGTAACTGTATACGTGGGCCTTATCGAAGACCCCTACGGCGAATCACCGCAGCCCCCTGCCTTTGTGGAAGCGCCTATGTGGCTGAACGTTGAGGCCAGAGCTATCGGACCATATGTTCCCCGAATCGGTGTGGAAAGCCTTCGGGGAACACGTGGGCATCTTGAAGGTCATCTTGGCCGCCTGAAGGCCATCTTGGGCGTCTTGGAGGCCATCTTGAGCGTCTTGGAAGCATCTTGGGCCGTCTTGGGGGCCTCTTGGGGCCGTCTTGGGCGCCTCTGGGGCCGTTCTGGGGCCATCTTGGAGGCCTCTTGGGCAATCCTTGGGCGATCTTTGGGGAGCTCTTGGGCCGTATCGGACCGTCGGAAGGCCGAAACGAAGCAAATGTCCAAATCCTTCAAACACCTTAGAAAATCACTCTTTTTGGCCTTTTCGGGCCTTCCTGGAGGCCCTCTTGGAGGCCTCTTGGGCCGTCTTGGGCCAGCTGCGAGCAACCTTCGGCCATCTTGGTGGGCTCCTGGCCCGTCTGACGCCGTCGGAAGCCGTTTCGGGCGCCTTTCTGGGCCAACTTGGGGCCCTCTTGGGGTGCTCCAGGGCCGTCTGAGAGGCCATCTTGGGCGTCTTCGGGGCCTCTTGGGCCGTCTTGGCGCCCGCTTGGGGCCGTCTTGCGAGCCTCTTGGGCCGTTCTGGGGCCATCTTGGAGGCCTCTTGGGCGATCTTGGGGCGACCTCGGGGGCCTCTGGGGCCGTCACGGGCCGTCAGAAAGCACAAAAAGGCGCAAATGCCAAAATCCTTCAAAAGCTTGAGGAAAATCCAGGATTTTGGCCTCGTCGGGCCTTCCTGGAGGAACTCTTGGAGGCCTCTTGGGCCGTCTTGGAGGCCTTTTGGGCAGTCTTAGACCATATTGAGGCCATCTTGGGCCGTCTTGGATGCATCTTGGGGCCATCTTAGCCGTCTTGGAGGCCATCTTGGCTGTCTTGGAGGCATCTTGCAGGCCATCTTGGGCCATCTTCGCTGTTTTTTGAGGATGTCCCTAGCGAAACGGCCGTTGTTGGCGACGACGGAGCGATTTTCCAGGTGGCCGGCGGGACGCGCCGGAGCCCCAGAGGGAGTTCTTTTGAAGAAAAAAGGAGAGGGTCCAGCACGCCAGGCACCACTGTGATGAATCAACAGGGGGCGGCGGATCGAAGACGCCTACGGCGAATCACCGCCGCCCCCTGCCTTTGTGGAAGCGCCTATGTGGCCGAACGTTGAGGCCAGACCTGCCAAGCCATCGGACCATGTGTTCCCCGAATCGGTTTGGAAAGCCTTCGGGGAACACGTGGGCGTCTTGATGGTCATCGTCGCCGTCTTGGAGGCCTCTTGGGCGATCTTTCGGCGATCTTTGGGGGCTCTTGGGCCGTCTCGGGCCGTCGGAAGGCCGAAAAAAGGGAAATGCCCAAATCCATCAAAAACCTTGGGAAAATCAGTGATTTTGGCATCTTTTGGCCTTCCTGGAGGCCCTCTTGGGGGCCTCTTGGGCCCTTTTGGGCCAGCTTCGAGCCAACTTCGGCCATCTTGGTGGGTTCCTGGCACGTCTGACGCCGTCGGAGCCGTTTTGGGGGCCTTTCTGGGCCAACGGGGGACCCTCTTGGGGCGCTCCAGGGCCGTCTTGGAGGCCATCTTGGGCGTCTGGAGGCCATCTTGGGCGTGTTGGAGGCCTCTTGGGCCGTCTTGGGGCCCTCGAGGGGCCATCTTGGAGGCCACTTGGGTCATCTTGGGGGCCTCTTGGGCGATCTTGGGGGCTTCTTGGGCCGTCTTGAGCCGTCGGAGAGCCGAAAAGGCGCAAATGCCAAAATCCTTCAAAAACCAATGGAAAATCAATGATTTTGGCCTCTTGGGCCGTCTGGCAGGCCTCTGGGGGGCCTCTTGGGCCGTCTTGGGCCGTCTTGGACTCTCTTGGGCCGTTTTGGAGGCCGTCTTGGACCATCTCGGGCGGACTTGGAGGCCATCTTGGGCCATCTTCGCGATTTTTTGAAGATGTCCCGAGCGAAACGGCCGTTTTTTGGAGGATTTTTTCCGGTCGTTGAGCACGTTTGGGGATTTTCCGGGTGGCCGGCGGGTTCTGCCGGAGCCCACTGGGCAGTTCTTTTGGAAAAAGAACCAAAACCAAAACCAGCTCATCCAGCACGCCGTGCACAACTGCAAGCAGGGGGCGGGGGATCTGGTTGCCTTCGGCTCATCCTGCCACCGTGCCTGGGTTGTGGGTCTGTGTCGCTGGGGCTCGTGCCAGGGCGTGGGTCGCTTGGTCGCCTTCGTGCCTGGGTAAGGGCTGTTTGCTCGCGTGTCTGGAATGTGGGTGTCCTCTTTTCGCTGGCCTTGCTGGCTTGGAAGTTTGAATAGGTCAGCTCCCTGCACCTTATTGACCAGCGCTACTGTCTCTAGAAACTGTCCTCAGTTGTCTAGGCTCTGGATCCTCCGCCTCCCCCCTCCTCCTCCTTCTCCTCCTCTTCCTCCTCCTCCTCCTCCTCCTCCTCCTCCTCCCCTTGCCGCAACCGCCATTTGGCGTTGAGGCGCTTCTCCTCGCCCTCCCCCTCTGCTGCGCATACCTTTATTATGGGGCCTTGTTGTCTTTCGATTGTGTTCGTCCTCCCTTCTGCCCCTGTCCTTGCTCTCTCCCGCTCCCCCCCTTCCTTCCCCTCCCCTCTCTCTCTCTATCCCTCCCTCTGTCTGTCTGTCTGTCCGTCTGTCTTTCTGTCTCTCTCTCTCTCTGTATATACTGATAGATTGATATATCCCTGCCCTCCCCTCTCTCCCGTCCCTTCCCCCCGTGCTCCTGTCGTTCCCTGTTCCCTCCGTCCATGCTGTCCTCCCTCCCTCCCTTCCTCTTTCCCTTCCCTCCTCCATTGTTCCTTCCGTCCGTTCTCCTCCCCTCTCCCCCTCCCCTTCCGCGTCGTGGTGGGTGTTACTTGTTGGAGGAACAGGCAGGGGCGCGACTTCCACATGGCTCCTCAGAAGGCCGTGGCGACCGACAGCGCGGCCTGGCGGCTCCCCGAAGGGCACCAAAACTGCCCGCGCGCTCGCGGAGGCGTGCCGAAGGGGAACTGGGCCGAGCAGAGGTCACTTGCCCAACCGCCGACCGCCCCGAGCGGGGCTGGGCACAACACTCGCTGCCGCTGGGGGGGAACATACCAGGACCAGCTTTGCCCAGAGCAGGCCGAACTCCACACTCGGGGTTTTCCGAACCACAACCATAACCATAACCAGGAGGAGGAGGAGGAGGAGGAGGAGGAGGAGGAGGGGGAGGAGGAGGAGGAGGAGAAAGTGCAGGGAGGAGGAGGAGGAGGAGGAGGAGGAGGAGGAGGAGGAGGAGGAGGAGGATGAAGAGGTGGAGGTTGAGGAGGAGGAGGAGGAGGAGGAGGAGGAGGAGGAGGAGGAGGAGGAGGAGGAGGAGCAGCAGGACGACGACGCAGAGAAGGAGGTCGGAAAGCGGTCGCTGCCTCTCTTCCAGTCGGTGCCTGGCCCGCGCGGCGCACCGCGCTGGGGTCTGAGCCGCCCCGGTCGGGGTAGGAGGGTCTCACGCCGGGCCGCCCCGACGCCCCCGAGGCAGAGGCGGGGCGGGGAGCTGGGCGCGAATTGATGGGGGGCGATGAAGGAGGGGGGGGAGAAAGGTATTCTTCTCGGGCCCCCTGCTGGGCCCGACAAGGCCCCCGTATACGTAGGGGCCCGATAAAGGGCCCCCTGTTCTGCCGCCCGCGCTGCCCCCCCTCTTTCGTCGCCCCCCCCCCCAGGGTACGCGGCCTCCAAGGGAGAAGGGTTGGGGGAGAGACGGCCGAGAGGCGGGGGAGGCTCGGGCTGAGAGGGGGCGGGCCTTCTCGGAGAGCGGCGGGGCTTCTCGGAGGCCCCCTCCCGCCGTCTGAGAAGCCTCCTTTGCGGTTTCGGAGAGGAAGGCTCGGGGAAGCTTCTCTGCAGGCCGGAGGCCCCCGTGAGCCTTCAGAGGGAGGGTTTCGCCTCTTCTGATTCTCGTTCCCCGGGCGCGGCGCCGCCGGCGAGGGGGGGGGGGGGGGCGACGGAGGGGAGCGGGCGGCGAGGAGGAGGAGGAGGAGGAGGAGGAGGAGGAGGAGGAAGGAGGAGGAGGAGGAGAACGAGGAGAGGGGAGGAGGAGGAGGAGGAGGAGGAGGAAGAGGAGGAGGAGGGGGAGGGTGGGGAGGAGGAGGAGGAGGAGGAGGAGGAGGAGAGGAGGAGGAGGAGGAGGAGAGGAGGGAGAGGAGGAGGAGGAAGAGGAGGAGGAGGAGAGGAGGAGGAGGAGGAGGAGAGGGGAGGAGGAGGAGGGAGGAGGAGGGGGGGGAGGAGGAGGAGGAGGAGGAGGAGGAGGAGGAGGAGGAGGAGGAGGGAGGAGGAGGAGGAGGAGGAGGACGAGGAGGAGGAGGAGGAGAGGAGGAGGAGGAGGAAGAGGAGGAGGAGAAGGAGGAGGAGGAGGAGAAGGAGGAGGAGGAGAAGAAAGAGGAGGAGGAGGAGGAGGAGGAGGAGGAGGAGGAGGAGGGGAGGAGGAGGAGGAGGAGGAGAAGGAGGAGGAGGGGCGGAAGAGTACAAGGGGGGCCAGAGAAGCGCGACGCGCGAGCACCTGCAGGACCACAGGGACCGCCTTGGCTGCATCACCGTCGGGAGTCGGCTCAGCCCTCGCCCGCGTAGAACGACATCATCTTTCGAAGATCTTCCTTGGCCGCCTTCACTGCCGACTGGGGGCCCTCGAGCAAGATCTTAAAGTGGCCGCCGCTGCCAGCCTCCTCCACGGTCACCTCGACGCCCCAGTCGGCCGCAAAGCGCTCCGAGTCGGCCCGCAAGGAATCACGGTCCACCTCGACACCCTCGGCGTTGAGACTGCCAGGCAACTGCACGTGGGGCTCCACCGTCGCGACGGAGCCGTCGCCGAAGATGTCCGCAAACCGCTGCTCGCAATCCTCCGGCTCAAGCTCCCGCAGCGACGTCCCGCTGACCTCACCGACGGCACGACGTGATTGGGCACAAGTTCCTTGTTCACCTACTCCGCCTCTCTCTCCTGCTCCTCCTCCTCCTCCTTCGCCTCCTCCTCCTCCTCCTCCTCATCATCATCATCCCCCTCCCTCCTCCTCCTCCTACTCCTCCTCTTCCTCCTCCTCCTCCTCTTCCTCCTCCTCCTCCTCCTCCTCCTCCTTCTCCGCCTCCTCCTCCCCGTGCTCCCAATTCCACAATGTAGCGCTGGGGAGGGAGGGGGGGGGAGCACCACCCGCCGCCAGCCCCAAGGCGATGCCCGTCGCGGGCAGCACACGGCGCGCCGAAGGCGCTAATTACTACACACGGCGCGGTGTGCCGCAAGGGGCCATGCCCCTGGGGACGGAAAGGGGTTCGCGCAAAAGCAAGAGAGACGTCAGAGCCTCATCTCTTGGCGGCGAGCGAGGGGGGAAGTGAGAAAGGGCGGGCCTTCTCGGAAGGCTCGGAAGTCCCCCCGGCCTTCTGAGAAGTTGTCAAAACCATTCCCGATGACACAGACAACTGATCATAATGCGCGAGGGCTGCTGAGAAGTCCCGCCACCTTCTGAGAAGGCCTCTCCTTCTCACTTCCCCCCCTCGCTCGCCGCCGAATCACTGGCATTCTAGACTGATCCACTTACGAATCCAATACCCATTACTTCCCTCCCATATAGGGTCCGAGAAGATGGGGAAGGAGGATCGCGCCGCATCGCCGATGTATCGCCAATTCATCGCCCATGCATGGGCGACGCATCGGCGCCATCGGCGTGGAAAACATCTGGCTCTGCATCAAGCCGCATCTTCGACGAGGAGCGATCATTCGATCCAATATACTCGGACCCCGTCTAGGAGGCCTGGACTCATTGACTTCATGTCATGCCTGGCATGCTTTCCCCGTCGGGGGGGGGCCACCTCTCTTTAGGCGGCTCCACAGAAGGCACCAGAAACAGGGTTTGCAGGCAGTTTTGACCCCCAGTTGGGCGCACCCCTCACACGCTTCGCGGCCCCATAGGGAGCTCCACAGAAAGCAGCAGTGATAGGGTTCGCATGCAGTTTCACCCCTTATGTCGCCGCACCCCTCACACGCTCGGTGGCTCCCCAGGGAGCTCCACCGAAGCCCCCAGGGGGGGGGGGGGGGGTCGCATGAGGCGCTTGCCCATTTCGGCGCACCCCTCACACGTTTTGTGACCCCATGGGGAGCTCCAAGGAAGCCCCCAGGAGGGCGGGTTCGAATGCGGTTCCCCACCCATCGGCACACCTCATCACATGTTTCGCGGCACCACACGGGGCTCCACCGACGCTCCCAAAAAGGGGAGGGTCGCATGTGATTCTTACCAATTTCGGCTCACCCGTCACACGCTCCGAGGCCCCACAGGAAGCTCCACCGAAGCCCCCAGGAGGGGGGAGCCGCATGCGGACCTTACGAGTTCTGACCCACCACTCACACGCTTCGGGGCCCCACGGACTAATGCCTCCAGGATGGGGAGGTTCGCATGCGCTTCTGATAAGTTTGCCCACACCACTCGCACGTGTCGGGGCCCCACAAGGAGCTTCACCGAAGCTCCACGTCAGACCTCAGTGGCCGTCCTCGCCTGCGGTACCCCGCTTATTTCAAAGCACCCCTCACACGCTTCCTGGCTCCACATGTAATTCCACCTGAGGCCTCAATGGCCGTCCTCGCCTGCGGTGCTCTGGCCATGTCGGCACATCCCTCGCACGCTTCGCGGCCCAATTGAAAGCTCCACCGCAAGCCCCAATGGCCGTCCTCGCATGCGGTTCCACGCCGATTTCCGCACACCCTTCACACGCTTCCTGACCCATTAAAGTAACTCCCTTTAAGGCCTCAGAGGCCGTCCTCGCATGCGGTTCCCCACTCATTTCGGCACACCCCTCACACGCTTCCGGGCCCAACATGGAGCTCCACTTGAGGCCTCGGTGGCAGCCCTCACGCGCAATTCCCACAAATCTCGGCAAACCCCTCACACGGTTCGCGGCCCCACAAGGAGCTCCACAGAAGATCTCGGTGGCCGTCCTCGCCTGCGGTTCCCCGCCCATTTCGGCACACTGCTCTCACGCTTCCTAGCTCTACAGGCAGTGCCACCTATTGCCTGCGCTGTCCTGCCTACTTCGGCACACTCCTCAAACGCTTCCTGGCCCAATAGGGAGCTCCACCTCAGGCCTCAGTGGCCGTCCTCGCATGCGGTCCCCCGCATATTTCGGCGCACCCCTCGCACGCGTCCCGACCCGACAGGGAGCTCGACCTGAGGCCCCACTGGCCGTCCTCGCATGGGGCTTCCCGCCCATTTCGGCACACCCACGACACGCTTCCTGGCCCCATAGGGGACTAGCTCCACCTAATGCCCGAGTGGCCATCCTCGCCTGAGGTTCCCCGCCATTGTCTCCACATCCCTCACATGTTTCGTGGCCCCAAAGGGAGCTCCACCGAAGACGATCCTCAGAACTGCGGTATCCACAAATGCATATGGTTGGTCCCTTCGCCAGAATATGTTTTTACCGTCGTATATGGCCTATGGCGACTCTCGCCAGACCGCGGGACCGTCAACCAACTCCTCAAGATGAAAAGCCGGCCCTGGGGAACGGGTCGGGACTTCCAGGGACCGCGCACTGAGAAATCAAGACGTCGCATGTCTGGGTGGGGACCTGTCTCTCGTCCTGAATCATCTTTTGACGGCCCTGGGGCCCAGCAAAGGCCCCCCCCCCCAAGGCGAAGACGGCCGTCGTGATGTTTCCCACGACGCGGCTGGGCTATACGCCTCCTCGTCTCCCTCCCTGGAGGAACAACAAGGCTCGGGGATCTTCTGACCCGTGTCAATCCAGACCCGGGTCAGCAGGAAATCAAAACACTGCAATGTAGGAAACAAACACTGCAACGCAGGTGTTCGCAAACCCGGGTCAGCCAATATGCGCGGCCGCCTCGCGGCCACAAGCGGCTCGCTAACCCGGGTCAGCCAGGGGAGGTCTTCGCAGGATCCTGCAAGACCTGGCGCTCTGGCTGACCCCCGTTTGCGTTGACCCCCGTCTCAAGGCTCCCGAAAGGCGGCATGAGCATGCATTCCGGCGGTTGGCGCGGATCTCTTGGGATCGGCGCTGGACCCCAGGGGGGGGGCCCAGCGCCGACGGAGAAAGCCGCGCGGAGCTCCGCACACGGATGCCGATGCCTCCTGCCCTTCGTCGCGGCGAGGGGCGGCCTCGGCTCTCCCCCCCTCTCCGTCTCCAAGCCCGCACCGCCCGGCCATCCACGGTCGTTCCCGGGGGCCCGAAGCGAGGCAGGATGGCGCGGTGTGGACAAAATTCGACGCCGGGATCTCGGGGGTCGACGACGACGACGACGACGACGACGACGACGACGACGACGACGACGACGAGGCTGACGACGACGAGGACGAGGACGAGGACGAGGACGAGGACGAGGACGGGGACGGGGACGACGACGACGGCAACCAAGACGACGACGACAGCGACGGGACGCCCCTCCGCCCGGCCTCCACGATCGTGTCCTGGAGCCTCAGCCCCGGCTGTCCGGGCTCGTCGTCTATGACATCCACCACCATGCCCCACCAGCTGGCGTGCAGGTCCACGCCCGCGCCCATCTCGCGGTGCGCGCGCATCGTCAGCGTCCTGCGAAGGTCCCTGACATGCAGCGTCTGGCATGCACCGTGCGACGTGTCCAACCCATCAGCACGACATGACAAGGTGAGCTGGTACAGAGCAGCCTGGCACACCACAGCTCGCTATGCGAAGTGAGCGCCTCGCGCGACCCACAGGGCAGCAACCCAAATGCGAACACTGATGTCCCAGGCTCAGAAAGGAAGACGGGGTGGGAACGAGGAGCTGGACAACGACGGGAGAGGGGCCGACAAGGTAGCGCGACAACCGCGGAGAGACGGCGAAGCAGGAAGAGGACGACGAGAAAAGAGGCAGCATGGAAAAAAAGAGAGAGAGAGAGAGAGAGCGGCAGCCAGTCTCCTAGTGGAACGCTGGACAAGCCGCGCGGCCCGCGCCACGTTGCCCTGGCGCTCCAGTGGATCAGCGGTTCACAGCTGGTGCAGGAAGCGAGCGGGGCCGACCTCGCCCGCCAGGTGTTCGGCCTCCTGCCTGCGCCGTGCACCGCGGGAGCGGAACGCCCGCAGGCGCGCCGCCAAGCCTTCGGGACCCGCGGGGCGTCACCCCGCTGGACCCCCCAGGCACCCCTCGGTAGCGGCGGCAGTTCCGCACATCGCAGCCCCCAGTGATGGCGAGGTCTAGTTTAGGTCAGCCCGGGGCCTCACTCCGCTGGACCCCCCCAGCGGCCTCCGAACGCGGAGACAGACTCGCAGATCGCAGCCCCCCAGGGACGGCGAGGTACACTTTGGGGTCCGCGTGGGGCGTCACTCCGCTGGACCCCCCAGCAGCCCTCGAAAGTGAAGAAAAAATCGCAAATATTGCAGCCCCTCAGGGATGGGTCCACTGGACTCCCAAGCAGCCCGGGAAAATAGCGACAAGTTCGCAGATCGCCCCCCCCCCCCCCCCCTGGATAGCGAGGTCTAATTTGGGTCTGCGTGGAGCGTCACTCAGCTGGAGCCCCCAAGTAGCCATCGAAAGTGGCGACAGTTTCGCAGATCGTAGCCCCTAAGGGATGGCGAGGTCCAAATTAGGTCTGCGTGGGGCGTCGCTCCTTTGGACACCCCGGGAGACCTCGAACGTGGCATCAACGTAGCATATGGCAGCTCCCCGGGATGGGCCTACTCAAGGTCTGCGTGGGGCGTCACGCCGCTCGAGCCCAAGCAGTTCTCGAACCTTGCGAACGTTTCGCAGATCGCAGCCCCCCAGGCATGACGAAGTCGACAACCCTCAAGGGACGGCGATTGTTAAGTTAGGTCTGCGTAGGGCTTCGTTCCGCTGCAGCCCCCATCACCCCTCGAAAGTGGCGACGGATTCGCAGATCGCAGCCCCCCAGGGATGACGAGGATTACTTTAGATCTGCGTGGGGCGTCACTCCGCTGGACCCACCAGCAGCCCTCGAAAGTGGCGACGGACTCGCGGAGCGCAGCCCCCGAGGGACGGCAAGGTATACTTGAGGTCTGCGTGGGGCGTCACTCCTCTGGACCTCCCAGCGCGCCCCTCGAAAGCGGCGACGGACTCGCAGGCCCCCGAGGGACGGCGAGGAGGCAGGGCAGCCGGCAGGTGGGCGGCAGGGCAGAAGGCAGGCAGCAGGCAGGGCCGCAGGCAGCCAGGAGGGGAGCAGCGACGAGGAGGGAGGCGGGCAGAGGAGGCCTAAGCGACCGCAGTGCTCCACTCAAAACGAGAACCCAACGCAGGAGGGTCGCGAAAAGTCAGGACTGATGCTTCTCGTTACGTTCGGCCCCTGGGGGCCCTCGCCGGGCCGCGGGACTGCGCGCAGATCCTGACGCTTGCACGCGCCGCGCTCGGCCCAGGGGGGGGGGAGGAGAGCCCCCCTCCAGGAGCGCAGGGCGTGGACCCGACCCGTCTGCATCTGCCCCGCAGCGCGCGGCCTCTCCGATAGGGGGCCACATGCGAACCCTACCCCTACCCCCCACGGTTTCTGAGGGGGAGGGTGGGGTTCACTTCGCTCGGTAGCTCCCGAACGGAGTGAACCCCACCCTCCCCCTCAGAACTCTTGGGGGGTAGGGGTAGGGTTCGCATTTGGCCCCCTATCCGAGGCCAAGCGGGCAGACGCCAGCCGGGCCCGCGGGGGAGAGCCCTCCGCCACACGCCCCAGAGCGGGTCGGGCGGGCCAGCGACAGCACGTGGTCACTTGCACCAGGGGAAGCCTCCGTTTGGGCCGGCGAACGCAGCAGGCCACCCTGGGCCGCAACGAAGCCACCATGGGCCGAACGAAGCCCCAGCGGGCGCAGGGTCGAAACTCAAGACGCGGCCCGGTATTGCTATCCTGCCCCAATGCCAGGCGGCAGAAGCACGGCACGGCATCATCACACCGCACGGCGCGAGCGAGAGACGGAAGCGGCCTGCCGAGCGAGGGCGCCCCCGCGGGCAGCCGCGGGGTCGTTCCCAGCGCGTGCAGACTTGTGCCGGGCAAGAACTTTGTCATTCCGACCCCGCAGATCCTGGCGCGTGCACGCACAACGTTCGGCCCTGGGAGAGGGGCGGAGGAAGCCTCCCCTAGAAGGGGGAGGGTGCGGACCCGACCCATCTGCCCCGCAGCGCACGGCCTCTCGGAGGCCAAGCGGGCAGACGCCGGTCGGGTCCGACGTGTTTTTCGGTGCCCAGGCCACCCAGGGGGGGTGTCTAGCATGGTTGCCCCGAGCTGGAACCATATCCTTCCCATGCCCAGGCCACCCAAGGGGGGTCTAACATGGTGGTCTCGAGCTGGAACCACTGGTTTAACGTGCCCAGGCCACCCAAGGCGGTACCTAACATGGTTGCCCCGGGCTGGAACCTCGCGTGTTAGATATCCGTCCCGGGGTGGCCTGGACACGTCAAAACAAGCGGGTTCCTCCACAGCCGGACAGCGTATGCCCCTCCCCCCTTGGCGCGTCCCTTGGCTCGTCCTCTGTCGCGTTCCCTGGCTTGTCCCTTGGCGCATCTCCGAGTGCGACCCTGGCACATTTCGTGGCGCGTCCATGCACCCTGCGCCCCGTGTCGTCTCGTCCCGCTCCAGAACTGAGCCGGAAGTTAAGCCCGAGCTGATTGAGCGTCCCACATGTCTCGACTACAAGAAGTTATGGGCCAGCTACATATGCGCTCAGGCAGCTCGAGCTCAGGATCGATATCAGTTCGGTCAAACACAACGCACTATATTGCGGCACGACACATCTCGGCACGGCATGTGACAACACAATCCTTGGCACGGCACATCAAAATCGATACTTTCAACATTGCAATTGCATGTCGCCCAATCTGGCGTCTTGAAAACGTAGCCATGCCACGCCTTTCTAGATTCCTTTCCGGGTGTTTGTGTCGCCCAATCAGGTGTCTTGAAAACATAGCCATGCCACGCCTTTCTGAATTCCTTTCCGGGTGTTTGGGTCGATCGTGTGACCAGTGCGCTTCGCGCGTGCACGCTCGAGACCAATGTTCCTACCATCTCGGATCCTCGATAAATAACGGTGTCCGCAGGCCCCCGGCTTCCTTCGCGAAATAGAAAATGCAAACCGTTGTGCGCAGAATCTCTGCGGAATAGTAAGGTTCGGCAGCCCCATAATCTGACATACAATGATAGCATGCAGAATTGCTGCGTGTCCGCTCGAAGATGGGCCGCCCTGCGCGCAGGTTTGCCAACCATGTTTCGAACCCCGCGCTGGTTTTGCAGGAAGAATGTTTTTGTTGCGTGCCCGCTCGAAGATGGCGCGCCCTGCGTGTCGAATATCTGAGGATGTCTTGACCGACGTGCTTGTTTTTCAACACTTGGACGGACTGGGTGCCCTAGGATCCCCAAGTTGTTCTGGGAGTGCGGTGGGACCGTCGTTTACCAAAGATCGAGGCCCTGGGAGCGTGACAACACGTGGGTTCCTACTGTCCCCAAGCGGGACAAGCGCGAAACCACATGGCTTCCTAACGCTCCAGAGTATGAAGCGAGCGGGGCAAGCGTAAGGACACGTGGGTTCCAAACGTACCACAGCGGGACAAGCGTGACAACACGTGGGTTCCGAATTGCCCAGGGCGGGACACATGTAAAAACATGTGATTCCCCAGGGGGGGTGGGGGGCAAACGTGAACACACGTGGGTTCCTAACGCCCCACAGCGAGACAACTGCGAAAACGCGTGGGTTCCTAACGCGCCAGGGCGGGACAAGCCTGAACACACGTGGATTCCTAACGCCCCAGAGCGGGATAAGTTAACATCGGTTGGGGTCCTAACGCCCCAGAGCGGGACAGGCATGACACCACATGGTGGGTTCACAACGCCCCAGAGCGGGACAAGCGTGAAAACGTGCGTTTGCGTGTGAGCGTGTGTGTGTGTGTGTGTGTGTGTGTGTGTGTGTGTGTGTGTGTGTGTGTGTGTGTGTGTTCCTAACACCCCAGGGCGGGACAAACGTGACAGCAGGTGGGTTCCTAACGCCCCAGGGCGGGACAAACGTGAAGACACGTGGGTTTCTAACGCCCCAAGGCGAGACACGCGTAAAACCACCTAGGTTCCTAACGCTCCAGGGCGGGACGGCGTATGCCCCTCATCCTCGGCGCGTCCCCTGGCTCGTCCTCTGTCGCGTTCTCTGGCTTGTCCCCAGGCACTTTCCCTGCCCATTCCGTGGTGCGTTCCTTGCCACGTCCCCTGACACGTCCTATCCCCTAGTGCGTGCGCCCCTGGCACATTCCACGGCGCGTTCATGCGCCCTGCGCCCCGTGCTGTCTTGTCCCGCTTCGGATGTGTGTCGGGTCTAGCGCTGGAGCTGATTGAGCGTCCCACACGGTTCGACTGCCAAGAGCTCTGGGCCAGCTATGCGCTCAAGCAGCTCGAGCTGAAGATCCAGATCAGTTCGGTCAGGATTCGGATGCCAAGGGCGACTTGATCTACAACGCTATAGAGCACAGCGCATTTCATCGCGGTATAACACATCTAATTTCCGCACGGCGCAGCACGGCACAATCCTCGGCAGGGTACATGACGATCGACACATTCAGTTTTGCAGCTGCCTGTCGCCCAACGACGTGTCTTGAGAACTTAGCCATGCCTCGCCTTTCCAAATTCCTGTCTGGGATCGTCTGTCGATCATGTTGGCCCCAAGAGCGCCTGCGTGGACGAGGAGCGCAAGAGAAACAGCCATCGAATTACCTAGGGAACGTCGGGCCCCTTCCGAATCCAAACTGTTCCTCACGTCGACGTCTTGGCTTTACACGGCCTGACGGAAGCGGGTCCTGAAGGAACCGCGCTCTGGACCTCAGGGCTTTTTTTTTTCCAGCGCGCAATTTTTTGGAGAGGGGGAAGGCAGGAGGCAGGAGAGGACGCGAACAGCCAATGATCATCTCACCACTTGTCAAGTCGCCGAGTGCAGGTGCAATGCCAAGGCTGCGAGAGAGTCAGGCATCCAGCGGACAGAAGCTGTCCGGCGAACGTGGCCGAAACTCGGGCCACCGTTTCGGAGGAGAGGGGGGGGGGACAAGGAGGAGGAGGAGGAGGAGGCGGAGGAGAGGGAGGCGAAAGAAACCCCAGATGGCGAATGATACGATTTCCCTTTGAAGCGTATCGGCCCCGCGGGTGCACAGAGGTTGTGTTCTAACCCCTACTAGGTGGCCCAAACGGCCACACGAATAAATCTGACACAACATTATGCTAGGAGGAAAAGGAGGAGGAGGAGGAGGAGGAGGAGGAGGAGGAGGAGGAGGAGGAGGAGGAGGAGGAGGAGGAGGAACAAGTGAAACACGTACCCAAAGAGGCCGGACCTAATCGTCTTCCTGGTCAACACGTGTGGCGCCTTGGCGCCGGGAATGTGCGCGGCCGCCACCACTCCATGGCGGAGAGCCCCGTGCAGACGGTACAAAGCATACAATGCTACCCCCTGCCGCTGGCACAGGAGAGCCGGAGAGGTGCCCACCTGCGCCGGCAACTCCTGGAGCCCTAAAAAAGTGTCCAGTTCTAAGCCGGGCGCAGAAGGTGGAAGGTGGAACTCAGAAAACAGTGCCTTCACAGTGGGGCGGAACGCGAAGTGCTCCAATTTGTCCCGGCCGCCGCCGCAAGCGAACCGGCAGGGGCCAGCGCCCTGGAACCGGTGGCTCGTGCACCAGGCGTTGAAGATTGTCCGCAAGTAGGCTGCTAGCACACGGGGGTGGCCGTGGCTCGCCAGTTGTTGAAGGTGCCGTACTGCCCGAGCAGGTCGTAGCCCAGGGAGGGTGGCGATCTGCCAGCGATCCAGCCTGCGCCGGAGTTGGCGTTGCGCATGTGCTCCGGCAGCCCCGCGACAGACCATCGTGACCCTGCGCTGCCACCCCTCGCGTTCTTGCAGTCGTAAGTCAACCGTCGGGGAGGCGCGGAGCATCTGCCAGACCTGGCTGTCTGCGCGCGCCAGCTGAAGGAGGAAACAGCGAGAGCGCCATGTTCCCAGCCAGGCCTCTCGGGCGAGGGTGCTGTCGACGTTGCTGAGGAGCGCCTCCATGCGCCGGGCGCGGGCGTGCACCTGCAAGTCGCCGCGCGCCTCGAAGCGGACCACCCGCGCCTTGGAAGCGAGGGCCGCGGCCCGGACGTCTCGCAGCTCCCATGGGAAGCCCAATGAGCGGAGATCCATTAGGCAGCCTGGTGTGACCCAGTCTGTAGGCCCTGGGAAGAGGGCAGCGCATGCCCTCTCTTCGGCGGCGTCGAAGTCATCGGGAAGCGGCTCCAGCTGCCCCACGAACGAGAGGACGGACGCCACGTACACCTGATACGCGCGAGCGGTCAGGCAGGCGCCGGCCCCGAGCTGTCCCCACACTTTGGCGCGGTCCTCATACTTCTTGAGTGGCGCCTGCCAGGAAGCGCCCCCCCGGCCAGGCCCGAGTACGAGACCAAGGTATTTGGCGGCGTCCGCGACGCCGAGCCCCGCCCAGGCCGGCACCCTGCACCCTACCGCGCGGCGGACTGCGAGTTCATCGAAAGGGTCGAGGGGCACCGCCACCGTCTTGGGAATGTTCAGCAGGAGGCCAGACACCTTTCCGAACTCCTCGAAGAAAGCGCGCAGTGCAGGGAGGTGCTCAAGAGCCCGCGGCAAGACCATTACAAGGTCGTCGGCCGATGCCCGGAGAGTAGCCGTCGGAAAGAGCCGCTGGACTTGCGCCCAGGACCAGAGTTTCATCGCCAGCGGCACGAGAGCTGTTAGAACTATCACGGGGCGCATTCACACCTCGTGACGAGCATCTGGATGCCTGCTGTTGGAGGTCGCGGCCGAAAAATAGCGTTCTGGCGAAAGGCCCAGTCATATGCAAGTGCGAGTACTGCAAGGCAGGTGGAACGAGAGAGCTAACATGGGCGGGGAGCCGCATGTGGACACACCCACTGGGGACAAAACGTCTTGAGGGGTGCGCCGAAATTGAGGGGATCGGCTGTTGTCGCACCCATTGGAGCTCTGTCTGGTGGAGCTCCCTATGGGGCCACGAAACGTGTGAGAGGTGCGCCGAAATGGGCGGTGATCCTACGTGTGGACGCACAAGCTGGGGCCCTCGGTGGAGCTCCCTATGGGGTCGCGAAGCGTGTGAGGGGTCTGCCGAAATCGGCAGCAGGTCGCTTTGCGGTACCACCCCCTGGGCGCGGTCGGTGGATCTCCTCGGAGCCACGAGCCATGCGATGGATCTGCCGAACAGGGGCTGGGGGTCTTTATGCGGTACGCCCCCCTGGGGGCTTCGGTGAAGCTCCCTAGGAGGCCACGAAACGAATGAGAAGTGCACCGAAATAGGGTGCGAGAGGCAGGCATAGGAGAAGTGAGGGAGCAGGGAGGAAGGAAGGAGGACGCGGGGCGCTGTCTTCTCAAAGCGAGAACCACCACCGCAGCACGCTTAGGGAGAACAGGCTTTCGCACCGAGCCGTTTCTTGACGGCCCCGGAGCCCCTCGGGAGGGCCCCGAGAGCTCAAAGGCGGCGAAACATAACTCCCAGCGCGGCGTTCGGGATAGGAGGAGGGGGAGGAAGAGGAGGAGAGGAGGAGGCGGAGGCGGAAGAGGGGGGGAGGAGGAGGCGGAGGAGGACGATGAGGAGGAGGTGGAAGAGGGCGAGGAGGAGGAGGTGGAGGAGAAGGAGGAGGAGCGGGAGGTGGATGAGGGGGGGGAGGGGGAGGAGGACGACGGCACCCGACCCCCTCGGGACCCCTCGAAGGCGATCGACCGCGCCGACTCCCTCGTGCCGAGGTCGCCGACGCCTCGGCGAGGCGCGAGCTGGACGCATCGCCCGCGGGGGCTGTGCCGTTGGCGCCCCCGTGGCGTCCGTGGCGGCTCGTCCTCCTCCCGGGGCGACCGGCCGTAGCTGAAGCCCCGGCGGGCTACCTCGGGCTTCGGCGGCGGGGCCACGTACCTCGGGAGGGGCGATCGTGGCGGCGGTGCTGATTATGCTGCTCATCGTCGGCTGTTCCACCATCGTCATCACCATCATCACCATCATCACAGCCAGCATCACCATCGTCAGCATCACCATCACCATCACCATTACCATCACCATCACCATCACATCACCATCACCATCACCATAATCGTCATCAGCATCATCAGCATCCTCGTCATCAACATCAACATCAACATCAACATCATCATCATCATCATCATCATCATCATCATCAGCATCAGCATCAGCATCATCATCATCATCATCAGCAGCATCATCATCATAGTCACAATCAGCATCATACTTATCATCATCATCACCATCATCACCATCGTCACAACCAGCATCACCATCGTCAGCATCACCGTTACGATCACCATAATCATCCTCATCATCATAACCAACATCATCGGCAGCACCATCATGATAATCAGCATCATCATCATTATCATCATCATCATCATCAATATCACAATCGTCATCATCATCAGCATCATCATCAGCAGCATCATCAACATCATCAGTACCACCACCATCATCATAATCACCATGATCATTATCATTGTCACCATCATCATCATCATCATCATCATCATCATCATCATCATCATCATCATCATCGCCATCGTCGTCGTCAGCATCACCATCATGAGCATCACATCAGCATCATCAGAATCATCATCAGCATCATCATCGTACTGACATTCGGCATCATAATCTTAACAATCATAGTCATCATCATCATCGTCATCGTCATCATCATCCGTACACCCGTCCATGCATGCAGCCAGCAGTGAGCCAAACAGACCAGCCCAGCCCAGCCAGGCAGCCAGCCAGCCAGCCCAGCCCAGCCCAGGCTGGCAGCCAGCCAGCCAGCCAGCCAGCCAGCCAGCCAGACTCATCATCACCACCACCGCCACCACGAGCAGCATCTGCATCATCATCATCATCATCATCATCATCATCATCATCATCATCATCATCATCATCATCACCATCACCATCAGCATCATTATCGTCAGCTGCAGCAGCATCGTCATCATCATCACAATCATCATCACCAGCGTCTAAATCCTTCTCCTCCTCCTCCTCCTCCTCCTCTTCCTCCTCCTGATCATCATCATCATCATCATCATCATCATCATCATCATCATCATCATCATCATCAGCATCAGCATCATCATCATCATCATCATCATCATCATCATCATCATCATCATCGTCATACGCATCATCATCAGCATCATCAGCATCATCACCATGGTTATTGTCATCATACCATCATAATCAGCGTCAGCATCATCACCGTCATCATCAGCATCGCCCGCTGTCATCATGAGCATAATCCTAATCAGCATCCCCATCATCATCAGCATCAGCATCGCCGTCGTCATCACCATCATCATCATTATCGGCATCCTCTTCATCATCAGCCTCATCATGATAATCATCATCGTCATCATCATCGTGACCGTCATTCACATCATGAATAGAATCGGCATGATCACCATGTTCACCATCACCGTCATCATCACAACATGGTATCGCCCAGGGCAACCAGAAGGGTGTCGAACATGGGTACCCCGAGCTGGAAACACGAGTTCTACCGTACGCGGGGCACCCAAGGGGGGGAAATATCCAACATGTGGCCGTCGGGGCGCCCCCAGCGTTGGGGGCCCACATACGCGAGACAAAAACAAAAACATCGTCAACCTGACACCTGTTTTTCTGCTGTGATGTTCCCTATTTCCCATTCGCGTGTCTAACATGGTGGTCCCGAGCTGGAACCACGTGTTTTTACGTGTCCAGGCCACCCAGGCGGATATCTGCCATGGTGGTTCCATGGTGGTTCCGAGATGGAGCCACGTGGTTTTCAATGTCCAGGCCAGCTAACGGGGAAATCGAACATGGTTGCCCCGAACTGGAACCGAATGTTTTCATGTGTCCAAGAAGGGGGGCTGTAGCATGGTGGTCCCGAGCTGGAGCCACGTTGTTGACTTGTCCGGGCCACCCAAGGCGGTGTCGAACATGGTTGCCACCGAACTGGAACCTGACACTGGATGTCCGTCCTTGGGTGGCCCAGACACGTGAAAACACGTGTGTCCCCAACGCCCCAGGAAGGGGCAAGCGTGAAAGCACGTGAGCTCCTCGCGCCCCAGGGCGGGACAGCGTATGCCCCGGCCCCTTCATCGCGTCTCCTTGCTCGCCCGCTGTCGTGCTCCCTGGCCTGCCCCCTGGTGGGTTCCCTGCCCGTGGCGTGGCGCGTCACTTGCTAGGTCCCCTGGCACGTCCCTTGGCTTTTTCTCCACAGCGCAAGCACCGATTAATGCTGTACCACCATTCGTCACTCCGTGCAAGTATTGGGTCCCATCTCGGCGGGCAAGCTGCGGCCACAGGCAGAGAGGTTGGGTTGGACTGCAGATTTCCGCGTCCACCCGACCAACGCCACAAGATGATAATATCTGCCTTGGCCCGCCCCCGAGTGCGCCCCCTGTGTACTCCATGGCGCGTCCACGCGCCCTGCGCCCCTCGCCGTCTCGCCCCGCCTTCGGAGCTGCGACGGATCTCGCGCTCGAGCCGATTGAGCGCCCCACGCGTTCCGACTGCAACGAGTTCTTGGGCCAGCTGTGCGTTCAGGCAGCTCGAGCTTACGATCCAGATCGGTTCGGTCAGGATTCGGATGCCACGGGCGACTTGGCCCACAACTCTACAGAGCACAACGCACTTCACTTCGGCGCGACACATCTCGCTTCAGCACGGCGCAGCACAGCACAATCCTTGGCACGGTACATCACGTTTGATACCTTCAGCATTGCAATTGCCTGTCGCCCAATCAGGTGTCTTCGCAACGAAGCCATGCCTCGCGTTTCTGAAGACCGTCCGGGGTGCGTGGGCTGATCACGTGGTTTAGCTTTCGGCGGGGATGGGCGGGGCCTGGCGGCTATGGAGGGTTCTTGAGCCGACGCATCAAAGCACTCTTTGGACTGCAATGGCGCCTGATGCCTTCGCCCCCTATGCGTCCTGAGCTTGTCGCTGGTGCTTCTTGCTGCTGCTGCTCCTCAACAACAATAGCAGCAGCCTCAGCCTCAGCCTCAGCCTCAGCCTCAGCCTCACCATCACCATCACCATCACCACCATCATCATCATCATCATCATCATCATCATCCTCCTCCTCCTCATCATCATCATCATCACCACAATTCATCACCATCATCAGCATAATCATCTTCATCATCATCATCATCAGCATCATCAACATCATCCACAGCATCATCATCATAATCAGCATCGTCATAATCATCATCACCACCATCACCATGATTACGATCGTCACCATCACCATCGCCATCACCATCACCATCAGCAGCATCAGCATCAGCATCATCATCAACAGCAGCACCCTCATCGTCAGCATCTTCATCATCATCATCCTCATCATCATCAGTATCATCATTTCCAGCATCATAATCGTCATCATTATCGTAGTCATCACCAACATCGTCATCACCATCATCAACATAATCATCATCATCATCTTCATCCTCACTACCATCGAAATCATCATAACAATCACAATCATCAACATTGGCATCATCAACATCAACAACCATCAGCATCACCGTCACCATCATGCTCACCAGCATCATCAACACCACCAAAACCATCATCATCACCACCATCATCATCATCACCACCGTCATCAGCATCACCGCTCCATCATCATCATCATCATCATCATCATCATCATCATCACAATCCGCGCCCTTTTCATCATAATCCTCATCCTCATCATCATCATCGTCATCATCGTCATCATCATCATCATCATCATCATCATCATCATCATTATCATCATCACTTTCGTCACGCTCATCATCAGCATCATCATCATCACCATCATCGTATTGCAAATCCCTCTCATTCTGCATCTCTGCCAGTCCTTCTCTTCCTCCTCCCCCTTCTGCTGCATATCTCCGCATGCCCCCGACACGGCCACTGCTGCTGCCCCCCCCACGGACGAGGAGCGGGGGCAGCAGGCAGGAGAAGGAAGCAGGTAGATCACCCTGGCCATCGCTCCCCTGGACGCTGGGCGAGAATAAGACGAGGCATCGGTGGCAAGGGGGGCGGGGGGGCGCTTGCACGCTTCCCCGAGCACCCCAACTCCTTGTTGGTCTCCGCGCGCTGCTTGCGCACCTCCTTGTCCGCCGCGTCGTCGCCCGCGTCCTCCGCCGCGTCCCTGAATCTGCCCCTGCCTTTGTATGCGAGCATCCGCCGTCTCTGCAGCTCCTCCTCGTGCTCGCGGAAGCGGTCGTTCACCATGAGCTTGTTGTCGGTCTGGCCGCTGTAGTTCCACTTGCGCGCGCCCTTGTCCTTGCGGGCTGCCAGCCGCCGCGCCTTGGCCTCCCCCTCGGGGTCCAGCCGCTCTCTCAGCGCCCGCAGCGTGTCCTGGTGCTTCTTCACCTCCTCCGGATCTGCGCCCTGGTCCATCGCGTCCTGCAGCGCGAGCGTCGCGTTCTCCACGTCGTCCTGCCCGACGGCGTACTCGAAGTCCTCCAGGGCATACCGTATGATGTCCTCCTTCTCCGCCTTCTGCAGCTCCTCCAGCCGCAGCCTCGCCTCTGCCGTCTCCTCGGCGCCGCAGCCGGCGCCATCGGCGCGAGAGAGCGCCTCCTGCAGCGCTGCCGCGTCGTCGCCCCGCTGCGCCGCGGACAGGGCCTCGAGCGCCTCCCGGTGGGCGCGCTCCCGCTTCGCCTGCTCGCGCTTCTCCTTCTGGAGCTGGAAGAGAACGCGCTTCGCCGCCGCGATCTCCTCCTTGTCTACCGAGGCCTTCGTGGCCGCCGTCACGGCCGCGCCCAGCACCACGGGATCCACATCCTCCGCCGCCAGCGCCGCGCGCAGGTCTGCGAGGGCCTGCGGTCGAGGCCGCGAAGCAGGACTGGCGCCCCTCCCTTGCTGGACCCTACGGATGCTCAGCCGCGGAGGGGAGGCACAGGAGACACTGGACGTGCGCCAAGACTCTTTGAGGGTCGCATGCCGGTGAAAGTTGTGTGGCCCGATGTAGGTACCCTCCCTAGTGTCTACGAGCGACGGTGAGCCTATCACACCGGCCAACCCTTGCGACGATCCGGCAAGCCATGTCGCAGCCAAACTTCTGGACCCTGGCAAGAGACGCTTTGAATTGTTACCTCTGAGCCTCCATTTCTCTTTCATATCCTCAGGTCGCCCAGGGGGATATCCACCATGGCTGCCCCTAGATGGAACCACGTGCTGTCACGTGTCCAGGCCACCCAGGAGGGGACATCTAACATGGGTGGTCCCGCGCTGAAGCCTCTGGGGCCTCTTGAGGCCCCCTGGTGCCTCCTGGAGCCCTTTTGGCCACCTTGAGCCCCCATCCTGTTCGATCGTGCTACCTCCCTCCCCCCTCCCCCGCAAGGCAGAGAAGGCGGCTCGGGGCCCTTCATTTATGCATAGCCTCGCTTCGCGACTGGTCTCATCTCATCTCATCCCACCCTCTTGGAGGCTTCGAATTGGAAATGGGCACCAGAACCAACACATGGGGTTGCCTCTACCAGACCAAGAGGATCCTAGGTGTTGGTTCTGGTGGCAATCTTTCGACCACCGTGGGAAGCCCGAATCCAATACCACCACGATCGAGATCGGGATTCTCTTCACCCGGTTGGGGGGCACACCGCCGATAGTGGTGCTGGTGCAAACATCTGGTCCTCCTCCTTCTCCTCCTCAAAAACCTTCTGCCTCCTCCTCCTCCTCCTCCTCCTCCTCCTCCTCCTCCTCCTCCTGCTCCTCCTCCCGTCCTCCCTCCCTCCATCCCTCCCTGACCTTTCTCTCACCTCCCTCCCTCCCTCTCGCTCCCTCCCTCTCTCCTCCCTGACATCCCTCCCCTCCCTCCAGCCCTTCCCCCTCCTCCCCTCCTCCTCCTCCTCCTCCTCCTCCTCCTCCTCCTCCTCCTCCGCCTCCTGCTCCTTCCGCCTCTCCTCCTCCTCCCCTTCAACCTCCTCCTCCTACTCATCCGCCCCTCCTCATCCTCATCCTCCTCCCCCGCCTCCTCCCCCTCCGCCCCTCCTCCTCCCTCCTCCTCCTCCGCCTTCTCCTCCTCCGCATCCTCCTCCCCCCCTCCTCCTCCACTTCCCTCCTCCTCCTCTTCTCCTCCTCTCCTCCTCCTCCGCCCTCCCCTCCTCCTCCTCCTCCTCCTCCTCCTCCTCCTCCTCCTCCTCCGCCTCCTCCTCCGCCTCCTCATCCTCCTCCTTCCTCCTCCTCATTCACTTCCTTCCTCCACCTCCTCCTCCTCCTCGCCTGCTCCTTCCTCCTCTCCTGCTCCTCTCCTCCTCCTCCTCCTCCTCCCTCCTCCTCTCCCTCCATCCCTCCCGCCCTTCCCTCCCTCCCTCCATCCCTCCCTCCCTCCTTCCGTCCCTCCTCCCTCCCCCCCTCCCTCCTCCCTCCCTCCCTCCCTCACCTCCCCACCCCCATCCTCTCCCTCCCTCTCCCTTCCTCTTTCCCTCCCTCCCTCCTCTCTCTCCCCCTCCCTAACATCTCGCCATCCGTCCCTCCTTCCGTCCCCTCCTCCTGCTCCTCCTCCTCCTCCTCGCCTCCTCCTCGTCTCCCTCCTCCTCGTCCTTAATCCTCATCCTCATCCTCCTCCTCATCCTCATCCCATCCTCATCCTCATCCTCCTCATCCATCCTCGTCATCATCTCCAGCATCATCATCATCATCATCATCATCATCATCATCATCATCATCATCCTCCTCCTTATCCTCATCATCATCATCATCATCATCATCATCATCATCATCATCATCATCAGCATCATCATCATCACCATCATCATCATCATCATCACCATCACCATCATCATCATCATCATCATCATCATCATCATCATCATCATCATCATCATCATCATCATCAGCAGCAGCAGCAGCATCAGCAGCAGCAGCAGCAGCAACATCATCCCAATCATCCTCTCCCTCATCCGCCCTCCTCCTCCTCCTTCCTCCTACGTACTCCTCCTCCTCCTCCTCCTCCGCCTCCTCCGCCCTCCCTTGTTCCTCCTCCTCCTCCTCCTCCTCCTCCTCCCCCGTCCCTCACTCCCTCCCTCCCTGACCTCCCCCCCCCATCCGTCGCCTCCGCCTCCCCCCTCCTCCTCCTCCTCCGCCTCCTTCCTGCGCTCCTTCCCTCCTCTCCTCCTCCTCCTCCCTACCCTCCTTATTCATCATCGTCAGCATCATCATCATCATCCACGCCTGATCCTCCTCCTCTTCACATCCTTCTCCGCCTCATCCTGTCTCCTTTCTCCTCCTGCCTCCTCCTCCTCCTCATCCTCCTCTCCGCTTCATACCTCTTCTCCCCTCATCCTTCTCCTCCCCCTCCTCCTCCATCCTCCTCCTCGCTCCTCCTCTTCCCTCCCTCCCTCCCTCCACTCCTCCCTCCCTGTCTTCCCTCCTCACCTCTACCTCCTCACCACCTCCCTCCCTCCCTCCTTCCCTCCCTCTTTCCCCTCCCTTCCGTCCCTCTCTCCCTCCTAACATCCCTCCCTTCCCTCCCTCCCTCCGCTTCCCCCTCCTCCTCCCCTCCTCCTCCTCCTCCTCCTCCTCCTCCCTCCTCCTGCGCCTCCTCCTCCGCCCTCCCTCTTCCTCCTCCTCACTCCTCCTCCTCCGCCCTCCTCCTCCTCCTCTTCCTCCTCTGCTCCTCCTCCGCCTCCTCCTCCGCCTCCTCCTCCTTCTCCTCTCCTCCTCCTCCTCCTCCCCCGCCTCCTCCTCCTCCTCCTCCTCCTCCTCCTCCTCCTCCTCTTCTCCTCCTCCTCCTCCTCATCCACCGTGATCCTCCTCCCCTCCTCCTCCTTCTCCTCCGCCTAACCTCCCCTTCTCCTTTCTCCTCATCCTCCTCGCTTCATACCTCCTTTCTCCCACACCTCCTCCTCCTCCTCCTCCTCCTCTCCTCCTCCTCCTCCTCCTCCTCCCCCCTTCTCCTCCGCCTCCTCCCCTCCGCTTCCGCCTCCTCCGCCTCCTCCGCCTCCTCCTCCTCCTCCTTCTCCTCCGCCGTCCTTCTCCTCCTCCTCCACCTCCTCCTCCTCCTCCATTCCTTTCATCTACATAACTTATCCTTGTGGTACCCTGAGGCCGGTTGTTAGGGCGGGCCGGGCGGTTCGACTGATACTTCCTCACCGTTTATGGCTCTGGAGCCGAAAGCATTGACAACAATTTTACGGATATAGGGCGGGTGATTTTCAACATGTGGCTCTCGCCTCAACGCCACGCACACTCGTCTTAAAAGTGTGCAAGATTTTCCCGTGTTGAAAGCGAATCGTTGTCAACACGTGGCTCTCGCCTTACACTCGTCTGAAACATTTGCAAGAGTGTCACGGGTTGAGGGCGAGTCGTTTTCAAGCTGTGGCTCTCGCCTTGGCGCCGAGCGCACGAGCGCACTCGTCTTAAACAAATTGAAGGGTGTCACGGGTTGAGGGCGGTTCCGTTTCAAAATGTTGCTCTCGCCTTAGCGCCGCGCACACTCGTCCTAACTATGTGCAAGGGTTTCACGGATTGAGGGCGGGTCCCTTTCAAACTGTGGCTCTCGCCTTGGCGCCACGCACATTCGTCTTACCAAGTCACAAGTTTCACGGGTTCCCATGATCAGCGTACCAGCAATTGCGTCTGGGAAGGATTCAGGCTTATGGGGGTGCACAAGTTGTGTTGGCTCGCGGTGTTCAAGTCCCAGGAATGGCGTTCTGGCACGGTCCAGGATCGTCAAGACGCAACAGTCAGGTTGATCCGTGGCGTTGGAATTCCGCCAACATTTTTGTTGGCATGCTCCAGGGTCTTCAACCAGCTGTCTTCCAACGGGGCAAGTGACTCAGTAAAAATGAGCCGTTGCAGGGGCCTGTGAAGAGGGAGCTTGCAGGGAGGGTTTTCCAACATCGATGATGCCTCTTGGGTGTTGGGTTTGCACTGGTCCTCCTCCTCTCTCCTCCTTCTCCTTATTCTCCTCCTCCTCCTCCTGCTCCTCCTCCTCCTCTTCTCCTCCTCCTCCTCCTCCTATGCCTCCTCCACTCCTTTCCTTTTTCATAACTTCTCCATGTCACACCCCGAGGCAGTTTTTAGGGCGGGCATGGCGTTGCGCCCGAGACTTCCTCACCGCTTATGACTCTGAAGCTTAAAAATTGGCAACAGCTTCACAGGTGGAGGGCGGGTGGTTTTCAAACTGTCGCTCTCGCCTTAGCGCCGCGCACATTCGTTCTAAACATTTGCAAGAGCGTCACGGATTGAGAATTACCCGTATTCAACATGTGGCTCTCGCCTTAGCGCCACGCACACTCGCCGTAAAAATATGCAAGAGCTTCACGGATTGAGGGTCACCCGTGTTGAAACTGTGGCTCTCGCCTTAGCGCCGAGCGCATTCCTTCTACAATGTTGCAAGGGTTTTGCGGAGTGAGGGCTATTGCTTTTCAATATGTGGCTCTCGCCTTCGCGCCACGCACCTTCGTTCATAACAGTTGCAAGAGTTTCACGGGTTCCCATGATCAGCGTATCAGAAATGGAGTTTGGGAAATATTCAGGATTTTGCGGGTACAACTAGTAAGTTGGTTCGCGGTGTTGAAATCCATAGAATGGCGTTCTGGCACGATCCAGAACCGTCAAGACGCAACAGTCAGGTTTATCCGTGGCGTTGGAATCCCGAGAACAATGTGTGGCATGCTTCCGGGTCTTCAAACGGGCTGGGTTTACACTGGTCCTCGTCCTCCTCCTCCTCCTCCTCCTCTTCCTCCTCCTCCTCCTCCTCCTCCTACGCATCCTCCTCTTCCTCCTCCTTCCTCCTCCTCCTATGCATCCTCCTCCTCCTACGCATCCTCCTCCTCCTCCTCCTCCTCCTCCTCCTCCTCATCCTCCTCCTCCTCCTCCTCCTCCTCCTCCTCCTCCTCTCCTCCATCTCCTCTCCTCCTCCTCCTCGTCCTCCTCCTCCTCCTCCTCCTCCTCCTCCTCCTCCTCCTCCTCCTCCTCCTCCTCCTGCGATGCGCTGGCCCAGCGGGCCCTGGCCTGCTCCGGGTCCGCCGTGGTCGCGTCCGCCCTCCTTGGGCCGAAGGGGCCCGCGCGTCCGCTCTCTGCGCCTGTCGGGCAGGCCCCCCCCTGGCCGCCAGCGTGCCTGCGGGCCCCGCGGCGCGGCCTCGGGGAGCTCGGACCCCTCGGGCCAGAGGGCGGCTGCGCAGCGTCGCCGGCGGCGGCGGCAACGAGAGGGGGGCGGAGGGAGAGGTAGCGGGAGGGAGACTGGCCACGGAGGGGAGGGCGCGGACGGGAGCAAGAGGGAGCGGAAGCCCAAGGACGAGAGAACGAGAGCTGCACCGCTTGGACAGGAGGAGGAGGAGGAGGGAGGAGGAGGAGGAGGAGGAGGAGGAGGAGGAGGAGGAGAGGAGGAGGAGGGGAGAGGGGAGTGAGGAGGAGAGAGGAGGAGGAGGAGGAGGAGGAGGAGGAGGAGGAGGAGGAGGAGGAGGAGGAGGAGGAGGAGGAGGAGGAGGAGGGGGGAGAGGAGGAGTGAGGAGGAGGAGGAGGAGGAGGAGGAGGAGGAGGAGGAGGAGGAGGAGGAGGAGAAGGTGGAGGAGGAGGCAGAGGAGGAGGATGAGGAGGAGGCGAGTGGGCAGGGGGGAGGAGGGGGAGGAGGGGGGGGGGAGTGGAGGAGGAGGGGAGAGGAGGGACGGAGGATAATATGAAGGACAACGAGGAGGTGGAGTGGGGGATCGGGGAGGAAGGATCATAGTATCAATGAAGAAGCCACTACGTTAGTGAAAATGAGCAGAACCATTATGCAAACATGTACGCCATATCCCTGCCATGCGGTGCGGGGCTTTGCGGCGTGTGACGCATAGCAAAACTTGGCTAAAACAAATGCAACTCTGTTTGTCGAAGTGGGCGGGTCCCGGTCGGTGCTCTGTGGCCGTTCGCGCTCGGTGCTCCGTGGCTGACGGCCTGCGCTCGGTGTCCTGTGGGCGAGGCGCTGCGGCGGCCTGTGGAGGGCGCCCTGTGGTTCGTGCCCGGTGGCTGAGTGCCCTATGAGCGCCCGGGGTTGGGGCTCTGTGGTGCCTCCTGCAGCACGCCGAAGGGGAAGCTAATTACACCAGCAGGCCGAGCGGCGCATGGCACTCGGACCAGGATGCTCGCAGAAAAGGGGCAGTCGCAGGAGAGAGCAGAGAGAGAGAGAGAGGACGACGATATAGAAAGGCCTCGACCTCCACCCGCTCGGCGCCGGCAGAGAAGACGGACTGCGCCGCCGCGTGCGCGAGCGAGCCGCTGCCGACGACGGTCACGTCGCCAGGGTTCGAAACGCGGACGCTTGCCTGCGGCACCGATCAGATGTTGGCGGTCCTGCCTCCCACTGCTTCCCTGTTCCATGTCCTGGCTCCTCCTCCCTCTCCGCCTCATATTTTCTCACCGGGTCTCATCCTCTTCCCTTCCTCTTCGGTTCCTTTCCGTATATATTACTCCTCCTCGTCCGACCGCCAGCCGCGTCGGTAGGGCGGGCCCAACGCTTCGCCTGAGCCTTACTCACAAACCATCTTCCTGAGCCACGACAACCCCCAGCCAGCTACAAGGATGAACGGCGGGAGTTGTCAACATGGAGCTCTTGCGTTGGTGCCGCGCACATTCGTCTTGCCGACACTGGCACCAAGAACGCATTTGATTCATACAACTTGGAACTGCGTTTCGGGCTAGCGTGAGCCCGTCCTGGCCTAAGGAATCGCAGGGGGGCGGGGGGGGGAGAGGGAGACATCGCGTAGCACGCAGGAAGGAGGGCATGAAACAACAAATGCAAGCGAGAGGTGAAGCTGGCGAGCGTTCTCGGGAGGGGGCGATGGAAAGGGAAGGATGCGGCTTCCTCCATGACCGAAGCCTCCCTCACTCCACCGTCGCCCTCCCCCACGCCTCCCCCCACCCGTCCGTCCCCCTCCCACTCCCTTCCCCCTCCTCCCGCCCGCCCCCTGCCCGCCCCTGTCGCATCTCGGACCCTCTGCGAGCCTGAGGCCGGCACCCGACGATTCCGAATCCACCGCCGACTCCCCGTGCCGGGGGCCGGGGCCGCCCTGCGCGGCCGGGGCCCAAGAGCGTGGCGCCCTCGCAACCACGGCCCGCAGGTTCTGGCCAACTTCCGAAGAAGCCGTCGAGGGGCTCCGCTCCCCCATGGGCCGCCGTTCCAGCGGGGGCCTTAGTGCTGGCGTCAGCTTTCCGATGTTGCCGGGGGCGAAAAGCCAGCACCAACACCAAGACCCCACTGGATAAAATGGGGGCCCTTTCCCTTCGGGGGCGCCCAGCGGAGCCCGAAAAGCCTGAGGCGGCTGGCGTCGCTCGCCGAGTTCACAGGCCAGGGTGCCCGCACGGAAGAAATACGCCCCATGAGGCTCATGGCGCCCCTGGGGCCCATGGGGCTGCCGTGGCCCGCGGGGTTCGCAAGGTCCAGAAAGTCGACGCGGCCCTGGTGACTCAGGGGGTCCGTGGGGCCCGCGCGGCTCGCCGGGCTCGCGCGGCGCATTGGGCCCATGCGGATTGTGGCGCCCATGTGGCCCGGGAAACCTTTCTGGGACTTGTGGGGCTCACGGGGCTGGCGAGGTTCGCGCGGCCCACGGGCCTCGCGCGGCCCATGGCTATCCTAAAAATCATCGGAGGAAATCGAGAAGGCCCGCGTTGATTCCACGCGCACAGAACTGGCATTCATCGACGCGGGACACGCGAGCCCGAAGACACGAGCAACGGAATTCAGTAAAGGAGCTGAATTTTTCACAAAGGATATTGCCGTTGGCGTCGGGTTCCGGCGCGCAATTCACAGCGCGCAACACGTGCAAGGATGGACGGCGGCAGACTTTCAATATCGAGCTCTCGCCCAGGCGCCGCTCGCATTCGTCCTCAAAGCTTGCAGCAAGTTTAAGGACGGAGACGGGGTGGCTTTCAAAACGGGGCACCTGCCCTAGCGCCGTGCACATTCGTCTTGCAAGCTTGCAACCGCTGCAGGGATGAAGGACGGGTCCTTCTCAAACTGGAGTTCTGGCCTTAACGCCGCTGGCAATCGTCTGAAACGTTTGCAACCGCTGCACCCCTTTTCAGGCAGCCCCACGCCCAGGGGCGCCGCGATCTCCGGCCGCGGCCGGCTGGGAGGCAGCTCTGACAAGTTGATGGACGCGTGGGAGCAAGGCCCCGTGCAGCTTCCACCTGCCACCCCGCCCGCGCCTCCTTCTTCCTCGCCGTCGGACAGGGAGGTCGTCCTGTTTTCGCTCTCGCCCGCCATCTTCTGCGTCTCTCCGCGCGCGTGCCTCGGGCGTCGCTGACGCCACCCCCGTGTCTCGAGCCGCGCGTGCCCCGGTTGGCGGAGGGTGCGAGTGAGGTGGCGGGCCTCTGCCCCGGATGCCCCCCTGGGCTGCGGCCCGCCCTCGCCCCGAAGAGCCGCGTGGAGCCCGGTCGCCGCCCGCAATCGCCGTCGCCTCGCCGCCGTTGCGAGATCTTGCCCCCTCCGGCTGGGACGGCTGACGTGCCTGCTCTCCCGGAGATCGGAGGGGGTGCCTGATCCTCGGCTGCCTACCTCCGAGGCGGCATCCCACGTTTGGCTCGCTTCCCCTCGGGGAGACTAGCCGCGCCGCCCGGTGGTCGGCGGCGCTTGCCCGCCCGATCCCAGACTCCCGCCCGCGTCGCCTCCTTCACCCTGCGCTGCACCTTTCCGGCGGGCACGTCGGGGGCGGGCCTGGCCTTTGCCTCAGCGGGCCCGCTTGCATCTGCCCTTGATCACTCTCGAGTGGTGGCCCAGTGCCGCCCAGCACTTGCGTTCAAACGTCAGCCAGCGGACCTCTCGTAGCCTTCCACCTGTCCGGAATGTCCTTGAGTAGCTCGGAGCCGAAGGTCAACCGAGAGTCTACTTGGCGTCCTCCTGCCGCCCTTCCACTGCCCCAGGCCTCGCGGCGGCCGTCTCGCGCGTTCTCGCGCCAGCGGGGCCCTTGCTCCGAAAGGTCGCATGGAGCCACGCGTCGCGGATGCAGGCGCCTACTCTTGCGCTGCCCGCTCCTCGCGGCCAACCGGGGCCGCGGTGTGTCGCCACCTCGCGGTCGCCCGCTGTCAAAGCCTGCGTGGTGGCCATTTCCCTGTTCAGCGATGGCGCCCCCGCCCTACTGGCGCGCCGTCTGGGGCGCCGCCGCTTTCCGTTTCCCAAACGCCTCGCCGAGCCATGCCGACCTTCTGGATCTGAGCTTGCTGTGACGCGCTCGATCAAGTCCTCTGTGGCCAATTGTTGGAGCTTGCGCGCGCGCTCCCACAGCTTCACCACAGCCCCTTCTTCTTGCCTGTCTCGGTTGTCTGGGGGGGGGGCACGTCTTGCAGTCCAGGCGCGCGTGCGATACATGGTGTTCCCGCCGAGGGCAATCCCAAAGTCCGCCGAAGCTCCCAAACGCCTGTCCTTCAGGATGGACTCGTAGACCTTCGCCAGGTTGACGCACGGGACCACGCGTCCATCCTTGTGCTTCGCGAGCATCGCTTCCATGGCGAGCTTGATGGTTTTGGTTTGCTGCGTCGGCGACTCCCTCGTCTACTTGCCTCCCAGGTTGAACCACCGGGACATCAGGCTGGAGGTACCCGGCCTGAGCCCAAACTCAACGTCGCTGTGCTGCTTGCTCCCGTGGCACCTGAATCGCATGCAGTGGCATGGGCGCGAAGGGTCAGAGATTATGCTAAAGAGTGTCCGCGGGAACTCGCCGACCATGCCCTCGGCGACATGCTCGCGTGCGACGATCGAGCTGATGTTCTAGGAGACTGGCGTCCCACCGTCCTCATAGGGCCGAAAAACATGAGATCAAGCCGCGCTCGTCAACGCAGTATCGACAGTTGGCCAGGTTGGTCGCGACGACGTGGCCGCCCGAGAACCTGGCCGTGCTGTCGGCCTCTCTGGCCACAGGCGTCATCTTCGCCTTGGACGGGATCTCTGCGGCTGCGCCCCCGTTCCGGACCTGCTGCCGATCCTCGCCGCCTGGCTCCGAGCTCGGCGCGGGGGGGGCCGTGTTCGCCTGGTGGCCTGGCTGACGTCCCGAAAGTTCGTGCGGAGCGCTGCCGCTCGTTCTCGCCCTTCCTCCCAGGGCCTCCGCCTTGGCTCAATATGCCTCCCTCCTGCGCGCTGACATGGCAGGCGCCAGGAAAGATGCTCTCCTCGTGTCCGCCGCGGCGCGGCGTCGAGGGCGCAGGCCGAATGGCCAGCTGCAGCTCCCAACCGTTGTTCTGAAACGGTCGGGCGCCTGAACCCAAAGGGCCACAGACGTCGGGCAAGGCAGAGGATGCACTTTCGCGCTGGCACACGGGGGCATGTGTTCGGGTGTG